CAATATCAATTGGGGGAGTGATGGTAGAAAAAAGCTTGGAAGTCGTGGAAGAGATTATGGGTGTTCTATTGTGCTAGTTTGGCCCTGCTGTAACTTTTGCAGAAGCAGTTTCTGCTAGAGCTTTTAGAGAAGTATTTTTCAAAAAAAGTAGTTGAGTGTTTGGCTGAAAAACTATTAGAAGTGCTTTTTAATATAATAGGTTATGTAAAATGACTATAACGACTTTATAATATAAAATATGAATAAAAATTCTAAACAATAAAAAGTAGTCAAAATGGATCTTGTTAGCTTTCTTTTATATTAAAGTAGTCAAAATGGATCGTGGAAGAGATTATGGGTTAATAAATTTGTGTGGTCCCAACTTTGCACATATTCAACATCCTGGTCAATCTTTTCGATCTATAACATTGTGACCTCAACTTATAATCAAATTTACTAAATTGGCTAAATAGGAAAGTTGACCGTTGTATTGAATGATCAAAATCATTGACTAACGATCAACCTGCCACGTTACTATCAGTCACCCTATATTGAAGACATGGAAGCCACATAGTACAAACAAAATAATAAAAAAGTAAAGTAATTTAAAAAACATTCCCCACCATTTTATTTCTTAAATAGATAAAAAAAAAGGAAAAAAAAATTCAATTAAAAAAACAAAATACACAGGAAAATATCCCCCAATCTCCTTCGTTCTCCTTCGATTCCCAATCCATCCCTCTCAAGTGCATCTCCGGTCGAGACGGAGTCCTGGAGGCTAAATTCTTCCCGAAATCCCTCTTGAAATTCTACGACTTTAGTCCGTGGTTCTCGTTCCCTCACTCGTCGAACCGGCGGGCCACCGTCGCTGGTGAGATTCACTGTAGTGGCCTCAGTCATGGAAACTGACCAGATCGGAGAAACTCCCTTGTTAATAGGACCAGTGGGGGACAATTTTGCCACCAAACTACTCTGCTTCGCCAAATCGATGAAGATAAACCTGCAGATTAACCAAATTGACAATTGTCCATTGCAAACCCTAAACCCTCAAACCATCAACAAAAATCATGACAAAACCCTAATCGTCTGCGCCCAATTACGGCTCCACGATTGAACGACCACAACCCCCACTCCCCTGGTTCCTCTTCTCCCCTACTCACTGGATCTTTGGATCTTCCGCTGGATGGAGCTCAACACGAAAAGATTGGGCACAACACTCACTAACTGGTTGAAATTCGCCTCCAAGATCAGGAACTACCCCAGACTGATGTCTGCCTTGAGACTGTCATTAAGTTTCATTACGGATTCGGCATTGGGGCTCTGGAAGCTGGCGAACCGAAACAGAAAGAAGAGAACGGGAAGGCAAAGAGTGACGACGGGACTTTCTCATCTCTAGCTCTTTTATTTTTGTGCCTTTGAACTCCGGCAGCGATGTTAGGTTTAATGGTGGGAGGAATCAATGAAGAATTTTCGCAGAGGGAATCGGTGTGAAGAAGAAATTTTGTTTTGAAAATTATACTTAAAACTGTTTTTTTATTGTTTTCTCCATTACCATGTGAAATCCATGTCATCAATATTGGATGACTGAGCAGTGACACAACGGGTTGACCGTTAGTCAACAGTCTTGTCCGTCCAACATAACGGTCAACTCTTGGGTTTGGCCAATTTAGTAAATTTGATGATTAGTTGAGGCCACAATGTTATAGATCGAAAAATTGGTCAGAGTGTTAAATATGTGCAAAGTTGAGGCAAAACAAATATATTAACCCTTTAATCATTTATTTTATTTTTAAAATAATATAATTGAAGAAAATTAAATTTTTTGGAATAAAATTAAAATATGGTAAGGATAATCTTGTATTTTTAAAACAGGTTTTCGCAAAATCTCCAAATCAGAGCTTCTGCTTTTATGTTATACAAAAGAACTTTTTGGATTTTTAAAACCCGAATTATTAGAGGTGTTTAGCCCTGCTTCAGCTTTTGAAGCCGAAAAGCACTTCTAAAAGCCGAGCCAAACATAGTGGCGAGTAAACGAAGGATTAGTGGTGTTTGATTGAGGTGTGAATAGGGAAGTGAAATGAGGGTGGAACACAAGACTTCAAAGTCGGCGGCTCCAGCGTCCAATACACATAATGGCCCTCGTTTGGGCGACATTTTTGGGTCAGATTGAATCATAATCGATCCCTACCCAACCGGTATTCGAACTAATTCGACACGGTTTAAGGCGAGTTGAACTCGGTTTCAACTAATTTTGGGTCGACAACGATTTTTACACACTGAGTTGGTCCCTGTGTTGACGAAAATTTGGTTAAAGTGAATTGAACTAGGTGTTGACGAATTTTATAGTGTGTGATTATTACCCTTTTCATGCTAAGGTTGTAAGATCGTCCCCGTTTTGCTGGCCTTGCAAATGCTTTTCATTTTTGTGTCGTGTTTTATGGTCATTTCTTTCGGTTTCCTAGGGTTGCAGGTCGTTTTGGTTTTAGTCGTTAAATCAGGTTGGTTGGCATACTAGTGTCGTCACTTTCCTGGATCACTGTCAGGGTCGTTTAACTGTTTTGTTCTTTGTGTGGGGCATGCAAATTAATCCTATCAAAGAACAAATCGGATTGGCGCTATTCGTTAGAGTCACATTTCTATCTATAAAAAAACAAGTAACCAAGTTACTATTCCGTAGTGTCCCATCACAAGGGTGTTCTTGTTGTAATTAACCAAAGCTTGGAGGAGTTTTATGCCATTAAGGTACTAAAATTCTAATCAATTAACTTATGACAATTGAATAATAATTGAACCCATACCAATGGGTATTTGACCTATTTCTACACGGTTAAGGCGAGTTGAACTCGATTTTAATTCATTTTGGGTCGACAATGATTTTTACACACTGAGTTGGTCCCAGTGTTGACAGAATTTTGGTCAAAGTGAGTTGAACTCGGTGTTAACGAATTTTGTATTCGGTGAGTAGTACCCTTTTCTTGCCCTAATGATCTGTTGATTCTTCTATACTTCGCTTATCGATCACCCAAAGGGTTGTAGAACATTTTCCCCGGTTTTGCTGGCCTTGAAAATGGTTTTTCGTTTTTGTGTCGTGTTTTATGGTCATTTCTTTCATTTTGCGATGGTTTCAAGTCATTTGTGTTCTAGTCGTTAAATATGGTTGGTTGGCACACCAGCTTCGTCGCTTTCCCGGATCACGATTAGGGTCGCTGGACCGTTTTGTTCGTTGTGTTAGATTGCATTTCTATCTATAAAAGAATATGTAACCAAGTTACTATTCCTTAGTCTCCCATCACAAGGGTGTTCTTTTTGTAATTAATCAAAGCTTGGAGGAGTTTTATGTCATTAAGGTTCTAAACTTCTAATCAATTAACTTATGACAATGGAATCCTAATTGAACCCAAACCAATGGGTATTCGACCTAATTCGACCTGTTTAAAGTGATTTGAACTCGAGTTTTTACAAATTTTTGGTCGATAACGATTTTTATACTCTGAGTTAGTCCTAGTGTTGACGAATTTATGGTCAAACTGAGTTGAACTCGGTTAACGAATTTTGTAGTTGGTAATTAGTACCCTTTTCTTGGCCTAATGATCTATTGATTCTTCTATCCTTTGCTTATCGATCACGCCGAGGGTTTTTAGATTGTTTTCCCCATCGTGCTGTCCTTGCAACTGATTTTTGTTTTTGTGTCGTGTTTCATGGTCAATTCTTTCGTTTTTCGAGGGTCGCAGGTCGTTTGGGTTGTAGTCGTTAAATTTGGTTGGTTGGTATATAAGTTTCGTCGCTTTCCAGGATCACAATTTAGGTTCTAAACTTCTAATCAATTAACTTATGATAGCTGAATCCTAATTGAACCTAAACCAATGAGTATTCGACCTAATTCGACCCGGTTAAAGCGAGTTGAACTCAGTTTTTACAAATTTTGGGTCTACAACGATTTTTACACACTGAGTTGGTTCTAGTGTTGACGAATTTTTGGTCAAAGTAAGTTGAACTTGGTGTTAAAGAATTTTGTAGTTGGTGATTAGTACCCTTTTCTTGCTCTAATGATATGTTGATTCTTCTATCCTTCGCTCATGGATCACGCTGAGGGTTGTTAGATCGTTTCCCCCATTTTGCTGGCCTTGCAAATGGTTTTCATTTTTATGCCATGTTTTATGGTAATTTCTTTTGTTTTCCGAGGGTTGCAGATCGTTTGGATTTTAGTTGTAAAATTGGGTTGGTTGGCCTACCAGTTTCGCCGCCTTCCCGGATTACGGTTAGGGTCGTTTGACCGTTTTGTTCATAGTGACGGGCTTGCAAATTAATCCTAACCAAGAACAAATAGAATTGGCCCTAATTCGATCCAGTCATAGCGATTTTAATTTGGTGTTGACAAATTTTGGGCCAGGAATGAATTTTAACCACTTTGTAATGAACGGATTCGGTTAGGTGTGGATTTTTATTAACAAATCTTTTACTTACTTTCTTTTATGACAATTGAACCCAAATTCATGTGTATTCAACATAATTTGATCCGGTCAAAGCGAGTTGAATCCGATGTTGATGAATTTCAGGTCGGGAATGAATTTTTACAGCTTTTGTAATAAACGAATTTGGTCGGGTGTGGATTTTCTTAAAAACTTGCCACGCTTTATCAAACCAGTCAAAGCGAGTTCAATCCAGTGTTGATTAATTTAAGGTCGGCAACGAGTTCTACCATTTTTTTATTAATGGATTGTGCACTCAATTCTATCCGGTCAAACCGGATTTAATCCGATGTTGACAAATTTTGGCTTGAAAATGAATTTTAGTTACTTTTGTAATAAAGAGATATTGTGATATTTTCGTTATTCCCACAATTTAAGAACAAAAAATGTAAATATATTTCATTTGTTTATTCCTTCCCATCCTCTCTCTCTCTTGCCTTTATTCCCATCCACTCATTTTCATCTCTCTCCCGTAACTCCTCCCACCCACTGATCAATATACATCTCTCCCTTTCTCTAAATGGAGGAAGACAGAGGAAAAAGAAGAACCTGGAGAAGAAGAGGAAGAAGGAAAAATTTGTCCACCTCGATCGTGCTCTCATAGGTTGTGTTATTTCCTTCTTTCTGCAATCCAGCTACGATGTGCTATTTTTCTCTCACCGCGATCCCAAATCTCCGAAATTGGCGATGATGCGGCAAGCTTGCCATAGAAGGTGGGTCGTTTGACGTCTGGTTGGATAGATCGTGAGTTTTCCTCTATTTTCTGTTTTTCAACGACGATCTTATTCCTCTACTTCCTCTCTTTGTTGATTTTCTTGAGTTTCTTTACTCTATTCCTTGGACATAACTTCCTTTTCTATTTTTCATTCTAGAAACCACAAAGAGAAGGGAAGACGTGAACGACGAAGATGGTGCGATGGGAAGGTCGGCCTTGGGCACCGGTGATGGTTTCAGCGACGAGCTGTAAAGCCTTTTCATATTGCATATTGTATTTTTTGGGATTCTTTGCTTGCCTTGAATTTATATTACTTATCTTTTCTTTGTGGAGTTTTTTATCAGGAAGAAGGCAGTGATTCGTCGGCCGACGCCGTCGACCGTCATGGTAGGGGAAGCATGCCTTGCCACCAACGGCAACCAAGATAAGTTATTTTTGTGGATTTATTTCCTCAAGGAAGCATAAAGATTATGTGGAGAAACAATGTGCCTTCCTCTTTAGTGTTTTTTTGTTGTTGAAATATCTCAGTTCGGCTCTTCCTCTCGAAGGCTTCTGGCAATGGGTTTGCCTGCAATCGTGAACAGTTGCAGCACCGACATAAGTTGGAGAAGCATTTCCATGCTCCATTGTTATGAAATTTTGATGGTTATAGCAAAAAAAGTAATCTGATTTGGATGGAGATTTGTTTTTTTCAAGGAAGTTCTGCCAATAACAAGCACTTGACTGCAGAAGTAATCTGATTTGGCCAGCATGACTAGTACTGGAGGAATACTCAGCATCTTGATCAAGTTGTGCCGAGCAATCCTTCAGGGGATCATAGTCATTTGTGTATGCTCTGGAAGGAGTTTCTTTCTTTCACCAATAATGGTATGCGGGGAAGCCTCACACGATTGTATCAGTTGAGACTCTAAAGCTCTTGCTCTTCATTCTCCCACCACCACCACCACCACCACCACACCCCCTCTTTACTAGGTTCTTCTAACTGGCTGATTCTTTGCTTTGTTAAGTGGGCTTTTGGGGGCCAATCATCAGGTGAAGCCTGGTGTGACAATGATGGAGAAGATGATGAAAGCTTGGTGTAACTAATGTTTTATCTAGTTTCATCCATAATCATGTTTTAGTTATAGTTACAGTAAAAAAACTAAAAGGTCAAGTCTTGCTCGATATATTAGTCTCGTGGGCAACACTATTTGCAAGTTTTGTTGTCTTTATGTTTTATGTTGTAAGATCCATTGTATGAGCCTTCCTATAAATCAATTTAGGTTTGTAGAAAAATTCATGAGTGTTGGAGAATTCAATTGGACATGAATTGTATGCTCCAGGTTTTGCTGGGTAATCTGTAGCACTATCAGTGTGATTTTATCGAGATTCGTTGATTTTGATGTGTCAATTTGGTTCGTATGAGTGTCGATATAATTCATTAAAACATATTCTACATCCTAAATGAACAATAGGTTTAGTTACCACATATCTAATGAGAATTTTGTGCTTTTACAAAAAGGATTGAACTCACTAATCCAATCATGCCTACAACTTGGTAATAATACAAGATGAACAATAACTTTAGTTACCACATATCTATTTCTCATATTATGCTTTTAGAATAAGGATTGAACTCACTAATCGATCATTCCTACAACTCAGTAATAATACAAGTATATACGTTTTGGCATCATGTCTTGGTTAAGGAAAAATTCAGCAGGTTGGTGTCATTCACTGACATTATAGATTTATACAAGGAGGTAGGGGCTATAGCCTATATGCATTTTTGCCTTGGAACCTCTCAGTTTGACTAATTTTTTCCCTTTTTACTTAATGTCATGTTCCAACAGTCTTCTTAGAACCTCTATATGTGTGGTGGAATTAATCCTTGCTGGAATCCTACCGCCACATAAAAAAGGTTGAGCTCTTAAGTTTGAAGGGAAGGTGGATTAGGAAAAGACACCATAATTATGAAGTCTCTTCAAATCAGTAAGAAAGAATAGGTTAGGCGCTAGAGTGCTTCAAAATCTTGGTTTGTTCTACTTCCATTCCAACTGGTCATCTATCAATACTGAACCGAGTCAGAATTTAAGAGCCCGACTTTCATTTGAATGTCAGTTAGCACATCCATTGTTCCATTCGGTTAACTGGATACTCTTTTTGTTTGTAGCAGTCACTTTTTTAGTTTTCTTCGAGTTTTTATAGTTCAGTAGTTCACAATACTGAGAAAAAGAAGAATGTATTGTTTAATGAATGAATATAGCCATTCAACAAACACTTTAAACAACAACCCGCCGCAAAGCACAGGCTTCCGACCTAGTGATGAAGAATTCGTGCGGGTGGATTAAGAATCCTGCCCATAGCAGAAATTCACGGATAATGATTATTCTTTCTGTTTGATGTCATAGATACTTTCATTCTATCGTAAATTATTTATATAGGGACTCTTGGGGGTGGTTTGGATGCAGAATTTTAATTTGAGAGATTTAAGAGAGATTTGAGCTCAAATCTCTTGTTTTAAAAACCTAGGTTTTCTACATCAGGAATTTTAATGAAATAACTTGTTTGGAAGTAAACCTAGGATTTTAATATAAGAATTGAAAATACAATATTGTCCTGCTTCCCATCTTCCTCTTCCTCTGCCAACGTTGCTCTCCTTTCTCCACCAGACGATCGAACCACCAAAATTGACAAAACCCACTAGATTGATGGGATGCTGCGGTAAAATATCACCAAAACCCAATTGAAAATGAAAGAATAACACAGTCAGGATCAAGTTTTCGCATACTAGGCAGAATGAAAAACTTTTGCAAGGAAGAATATCACCAACCTGCAAGATTTAGGTGGAGCCAGCGACCAATCCATAGAAGACCCGGTGACCTCGTCATCCAGCGTCCTTCAGGGTCGTTGGCCTCGCCAATCCTCATCAATCGGCATCCTCGCCATTTGCCGACATCATCTTTGGAAATGGAGGAAACAGAGGTCGATATGTGCGCGACCGTGACCTGTGCAACATCGGGGAGATTGAGCGATTTCCGAGTTTCCAACTGCTCCGGTGGACCTGGGAGACTTCAAGGAGAGAGGTCGACGGCGAGATTGGACGAAATCGGGGAGAGAGAGCGACGGCGGCAAGGTTTGACCGGCGGTGAGGATGGGTGAAGAGAACGAAGAGGGTGTGTTGTAGGTGAAGGATAAGTTTGGAATAAATAAATAAAAAATGAGGGATTTCAAAATAGCTGACCCTCATCAGCTATTTCACAATCCCACATATGCAGGTTTTTAAAATTCCTAATAATCACAATTCTTAGGTTTCCCAAACGTGTTATTTGATTAAAATCCCTCATTGTGTGGGATTGTTTTAAAATCCTGCACCACAATCCTACCACATTCCCTCATGCAAACGACCCCTTGGAATAAAGCGATGTATGGTTATGCTAGATTAGAATAAGTACGGGATCCTATCCCAAGAATAGTGGTAACCTTGTCCTCCTTGTCATATGGTGTGTCAGTGAGGTCGTATGCCTACTCGTTGTCGAAGAATAGCCAGCCATCATTGGTAGGATGTGAGATAAGGATGTAATAATCCACGTTTCCTCGCCGGTACGTGACTCAAACCTAACTACACAATTTCCAATAGATGGACAAGTATAACCAACGACTGGGTGCAGAATAGGACAAGTGTTTAATTATCAACCCGAGGCGGTCTATGTACCCCTACTTCAATCTTTTATATATTACGTAGCAAACAGTTTATGGTAAAATCTAAGAAACTACATTTGAAATCAAACAAGCAAAGTAAAGTTCTGGTGGCCAATGATGACGGGTAAAGGGGGACGAGGATGAATTGGCCAATTCGCTCTGAGGAGAGTCTCAATTGAAGGCGGAGGGCGGAAAAGAAGAGTCGGGGAGGGTTCGGGGCGGATCTAGAGGGTTAAGATTAACGTCGAGAGCCGATGGATTTTGGAGGAAACAGTGATCGTAGTGGGTGGGGAATTTGCGAGGGTTCTAGAGAGAAGGCAGAGAAAGGGAGAGTATTCTAGAGTATTTACTTTCCTTTTTCGTTTTGTTCACCAGAGAACGAGAGAGAGAATAGAAAAGAGAGGGTAAAAATGAGAGATATAGGACGGCTAGTGTTTGCTTTTGGACCCAAACCATCTCTTTATACTTATCTTGCCATTTACTATTTAGTCCTTAATGTTTCCACCAAATTATCTACCTGCAACCGTCCCCTGTAAAAATTTAAAACCTAACTAAAAGGAACTAGGGAAGGAGAGGGAAATTTTTCCAACACTGAAAAGCCGCCCGCCAAACTCTAATTTTCGCCTGCTAAAATCAAAGGTATATTTTAATTGCGCCTAATAGTTATTATGACAAAAGATAATTTGACATAATAAAAGCTAAACCAATATATTATGACAAACTTGCATTTTGTTAGCTCGCCGTGGGAATAATAATGTCTATTATGACAACAGGGTTTGTCATTTAAACATGTCATGATGGTATAATATGACGAACGCTATTCTGACGATTAACTTTGTCACTTTTGAGTCTCCTACATCCCAATTTGGGACGCCTATTTTGACAACATTATTTGTGACATAAGATATTTGTCGCAGTACCCACCTAATATGACAAAATGTAATGACAACACTCAACGTTGTCACATTAGGCACACCTTATAGGACAACGTCACGTTTTGTCATATTACACACCCTATTGTGATAACCTAGAAATGACAATAAATAAGTTTTGTCACAATAGGCCAAATTTTTTGTAGTAGGATGGGCACTTTCTATTATTCGGCACATTTTATTATCCTTGATATTATCAAAGATGCGATATGCCCCTCATCCTATGACGCCCCTTCTTTGCCACCACCAAGGCTCTAATCGATGTAAATGAGGGCACACTTATCTTGAGAAATGGTAAAGAGGAAATCACTTTTACGATTAACCTAAGGGTAACCTTGATTATGTAAAAGGGATAGAGTCGAATGATGTATTGGTTAGTGGAGGTGAGCCCCTCAAGGAAACTCCCGCTAGTTCTCCTTGTTTTTTGGCAATGCGAAGCAGGATCCTAAGGCGGGTGACCCAAAGGGGAAAAAAAGAAGGCATGGCAGGAGAAAATAAACCGTACTTTGGCCGGAAGGAAGGAAAAGGGCAAGGCAAAGACAAGCGACCAAGAGGGCCATCCTTCAGAAGAGGAGATTAGAGGTGCCAATCCTCGTCTCGAAAGTGTGTCGGATCCACTCTCGGAGGCCTGATGCTCGCAAGCATGATGATCCGAACCATCTAGCTAAGGACGTAAAACAAGCACTTGTTGGGAGGCCACTCAATGTCGGTTGGGATTTCTTTCCCTTTTTTTTAGTGTTTGAGCCAAGTGGCTGATTTTGGAACAATCACTGTGCCATGTTTATGTGTTTGAATGATTGAAAGTGTCGTGTTTGACTTGGAGGCACGGTCAATTCGATTAAGTGTTAAGGATTGTGGAATTGCCCTGTTTTTTTTATTATCACGGTCATCATACCATGATAATGTTGCCCAAACTACTGTCATGATTTAAAAGCTTCGCGCCTGAGGTGAGATTATCATGGGCAGTTGCCCGTGATATGAAATAAATCGTGATGTTGGCCCAAAACTCCATTTTTGGTCGAGATCATGTTCAACGAGTTATTATCACGGTTAGGAGACCTTGATAATTGACTCTGGCATGTGATCACTTCCCTTGCACGATACAATAGCAGGCAGAATCCTCTGGATCTATCACCGAAAAAATGTCGCCTTCGACAGTTTTTTTGATGATCTGATGAATTTCTGGTCGTCCAATCTCAAAAGCAAGCACATACCCAGAATCCCCAGGCCTAGGCTCTCTTTCGCTGCAAGTTTGGGGAAGTTTGGCTCACTTCTTTTGGCAATCTCCTCCGGCAACTTTTCGGCCAATTTTTTATTCTCTCATTTTCCTTACGTTCCTCTTCAATCCTACTTTAGTCTCCAGGTGCTTTTGTATCTTTAACTTGCTTAAATATAGAGAATCAGATCTAGGTTCTTTTTGAGAGTTCGGTTCTAGGGTTCTTAGGTTGAGGAGAATTAGGAATTTTGCTTTAATGATAAAATTGATTGAGGGTTTTAATGAATGATGATGTGTTAGATGGTATTCTTATTCCTTGGTGGGATAAATTTTGCATGCTTTGGTGATTGAATTAGAAATGCCCATCAAGTGCTTGTTTAATTGCAAATCCTTGCTACACTTTTATGCATGATG